TCACAAAAATAATAATTATATTAGATACTATCCAGCATAAATTTGGCTGCTACCATTACTGTAAGATACAAAGAATGGGAATAAAGCTTGCAGCACTTTCCCACCTTGACTACCTTTGTGTCCCATGCATAATAAATGTGCCACTGATTGAAAACCAATGTCATTACCTTTCTGTGGACCTTATAGCTCAATACCTCTTAACAATAGGTTGTTATATGCCTTCAAGTCAACTCTGATTTATGGTGACTCTGTCATAGGGTTTTTCTTCGGAAGATTTATTCAGAGAAGTTTTACTATTGCTTTCCTCTAAGGCTGAGAGAATGTGGCTTGTCAAAGATCCTGCACTGGTTTCCATAGCTTTGTGGGGATTAGACTCTTGGTCTCCAACAGTTCTAGTATAACACTCAAACCACTATATATGTTGCCTCCTAATAATACATTACTTTGTATTTTAAAGGAGTTTATAGCTTTAAGGTCAACAGAACTTTTCCTTCTACTGTCACTGGTTTTGGGTCTTGAGCTAGCCTTGAAAGCTTTCTGCTAGCAAATCCAAATGTAGCCTCTTATCTAATTTGCTTGGTGATTCCTGTTTAGCATGCCAAGGAAGCTGCCAGGGACAATTTCAGCATTACAACATCAGGTGATGATGTTCCATGTGGTGCTTAAAATGCTGAAAAGCTTCTGGCCTGTGCAGTGACTAAGGGCCTTTACAGACTGCCAGGAATAGTGCAAGTTGAGGCCGCTTTAACTGTCCTGGCTCAGTGCTAGGGAATCATGGGAATTGTATTTTTTTTCTGGGACACTGAGCCTTCAGAGAGCTCTGGTGCCACAATAAAGTACAGTTCCCATGATTCCTTAGCAATGAGCCAGGACAGTTAAAGTGACTTCGAGTGGCACTATTTCTGGCATTCTGTAAAGGCCCTAAGTCATGTGCAACCTTTTTTTTGCTAGCACAGTGCTTGTTTCTCTCAGTGCAGAGGGAAAGAAACTCTTTCTCTTTTTTTGCCAGTGTGAACACTTTACATTGACCTCCCTTTGATATGTGAACAACCGAGAATTGGCAGTCAAAAGAACTAGAAAAGCTCATTACAAATCATATAACAATGCTTGATACATTTGTAATTAGGATTTAAAAGTGCTTATCACAAGGAAAGTACATTTGAAATGTAATAGGGTACTGTATTTACTACCTGCCCCCATCCCACTCCTGGGACAGACTAGTGGGTTTATATAGCTTTCAGGATAAATCCATTAGCTCCTACCTTTTAAGATGTTAAGCCAGTCTGATATACATTTATCTGCACTACAAAGGTTCATACCACCTGAATTGCCTTCATACAACTTGAATTGTTAAGGCTCCATTTTAAGAAATATTGGGACACATAGTTCCATAAGACATCTGGCCTTCTCTGCTAGGAAGTTTTAGGAGCACTGGATTGGGCTACAGCAACCACATGCCATGGCCCACATCCAGCTTTTTGCCACTCCAAAAAGAGCTGGCAAATGCCGCTCCCTTTTGGGGCGGTAAAAAGCCGCCCTTAACGCCACCGCTGCAGCTCTTTTGTGCCCCTTTGGCGCAGTGTGTCTATACGCTGTGCCAACGGGGCGCCCTGACACCGTGTGCCATGAGGTCAGGCGTGTGGCGTGACAGCAGTGTCAGGGCAGTGTCGGGGTGGCCAGCGTGCGGTCGCCCTGCCCCAACTCTGCCCCTAGGCCAGTCCTTTTGGCCCATCTGTATCAGCCCTTAGTCTACACCTAAAGTGCTATTCCAGTTACCTGTCCACACTAATGTTCTCTTCTCAGGGTTCCTTTGGAACTGTAGTTCAGAGGACTGAGCTAGAACTTTTTAGTAGAGAATTTTAAGTTCTCCCCTGTAAGTACAAATCTCAGTGTGCCTTAGAATGGAGCCACAACAGGTGAAGTGCTGTGAAGTTATATATTTGTGCAACACAGACAGATACATCCTATAAATACTAGTGTTGTTAGTTATAGAGAAATTGCATGCGGGTGACCGAACAGACTAGTAGGGGGCAGGGGAAGAGAGCATTCTCTGTTCCTCATCTATCCTAGGGATGTAAATCTTTTTATTTCTCACCCTTGTAAGCAGGAATGAATAATTCCCTGTATTCTCACCACTGGACACACAGAGACATTTTTGTGCAGAGTTTCAATGCTATTAGTGATTTAGAAAGTTCTAATGGGAAGTATTTTACTCAGAAAAATAGGCAGTTTTTGATGAACAAATCTCCTCCACAACTTACTAGTAGCCAGTAAATATGTCAAAGTCCTGCCCTTTTTAAAAAAATGTGGCCTTCATAATGACAGCCCTTCCCAGCCATGGTGTATAATACCCAAGGCTGGCCAGGTTTGTTTCTTTGTTTAAAGTGTTCTGCCTTTCTCCTTGCACAGGATCCCAGGGATGCAAAGAAAGGGGGGAGGTAAACAAATGGCTCTCCAGATATGTTGGATTACCACTCCCAAAAGCCAT